TATGTAGGACCTTGCATTGTTACCGAGGTCTACTCTGACTTGGTTTTCAAGCTCCAGATTGACGCAAGAGGAGAGAGTCGAGTTGTCAACCACAACAAGTTGTTGCCTTATCGAGGTGATGACCCGCCCAAATGGATCCAGAAAGTTGCTATGGAGATGAGAAGAAATCAAAATTAGACTTACCGTTTTTGTTATTCTCTGTCATGCCTTTGCTGCCTACAAATAACAAATAAAATAAACTATTATGAATACAACAAGAGAGTTGTTGTTTATCATGTTCATATTTACATGATGCAAGTCTAACTATTGGTTTAAATAAATGGGGTATTCTTCTGATTAGAATTCTATAGCTATTAAGAAAGTATAGCTATGTTTTTGTATATAATAATGTCATATTATTGTTAATATAAATTACATGGTAATTTCCATGTTTCTATTGCAGATAATTACCCTTGCAAGATGTCTTTGATGACTACAGCTGGCAGGAGAGGCCGAGTGTGGGGTTGCGTTGTGTGCCCGTACAGAGGAGAGAGACACACTGTAATGAAGCACGTGTACTCGAAACACTTGACCATAGACGAGTGGCCCTATCATTGTACCCTGTGCCAATACAGCCATTACAACTACACCAACTTTAGCAGTCACATCAAATGGTATGAAATTCATCGTTCCATGGCCAGGGCTCGACATTAACTTTTTTCCCTACTTGTCCATTCGGACAAGTGACCAAGATATTTACTTGTCCGAACTTCAACTTCACTTGTCCGAAAATTTTTCAATGAATGTCTTATATGTCAACTTGAAAACAATTAAAAAATTAAATGTGCTTGATTTCTTAGTGCTGTTATTGATAAATAAGACAAACATATAAAAAAACAAAATTTTATCTAGACTTCCTATCCTGACAACGGCATAAATGTTCGCAAGTGAATCTGTAATATCAATTACATGTATTCCAAACTTGCAAACATCGCAAGATCCACGCCATGCAATAGTATGGATCTAATTAGTGAACATCGATCCCGATCAAATGTGAACTTACGTAGCGATCAATATCGGGATCGAAATTCAGGTTTATGTACTGCTTCCGTTTTTATTCGATAAACTTTACAAAAGTTGTTTTTTTTTTATGATTATTATTATTTGAAGACTTCTTTACATAAAAAAATCACTTGTCCAATCGGACAAGTACCCAGAAATATTCACTTGTCCGTAATTTTTTTTCATTGGTACCGGACAAGCGGACAAGCGTTAATGTCGAGCCCTGCATGGCCTTATCAGTATCTTACACACTTATGGGTCCAGAGGAGATTCGGCCGGAGAGCAAGGTGGTGTTCTCCATGATGCGGCAGTGGTCCGTCGAGGAATCCCGGAGATACTGGGAGAGCAAAAGAAGACCCACGATTCCTCCACTTCCCAATCCATCTGTCCAGATCAGCTATGCTACCATTGCACCACGTACATCTCCACCATTATCTGTGCCATCAGCTTCTGTCACTGTAGTAGGTCCATCTGCTGCTCCTCCATCTGCTGCCGTGCCCGTGTTATCTCCTGTTGTGCCGGTTTCATCTGCTGCTGTGCCCATCTCATCTGCTGCTGTGCCTGTCTTATCTTCTACTGTTCCTCCTCCTTCAGTCTCCACGATCACTCCACTTAACAACGAAGAAGCATCTGTCCTTGAAGAGTTTTTGATCCTAGAAGATACTAGCGAGTTCGATCTGGAAAATGTGCCTCCCAAAACTACCAGGGACATAGGAGTGAATACCTCACCATTTAAGGATGATGTAGCAGAGCTGAAAGCCATTATTGAGAGACAGGCCAGAGCCCTGAGGAACAACACCCTTGCCACCAACAGGCTAGAAGAACTTCTAAAGAAGTCCCAGACACAGCAGGAGATGAGATCTATGCATCACGGACCAGGGGAAGGAGAACGTCCTAATATTTCGTATCGGCAGAAGTCTCCGCCACCTCCCAGAATGAAATCAGTTGTTTATCAAATGCCCAGAAGACCATCAGCAAGGAAACCAGAGCCGTACCGAAGACCATCTCCCCTTGAGAACCTTTTCAAGCCTGAAAGAAAGAGTAAAAATGGACATTAACTTTGTGCTAAGTATATTTCCCCTCAGATAAGTTAACTTGTTATAATATTTCTTTTATTGATAATTGGGAAGTAAGGTTAGGATTGGGATGGGTGGTGGACTTTCTGTGTATTTTTCATTGTAACTTCGAGCATTGGTGGTTTATTTTGCTTGAATTTGTATGTTATCATATTACCATATGTTATAATTGTAATGATAGTTTGATGTATGTACATTGTATATACTTGAGAGTGTCTGAAGTAATAAGTTGGAGTACTTGAATGTATTTTGAGCAATGACTGTACAATCATTTTGAATGATTGAGAATTCATATTTACTTGATGTCTTTGTTGAATGACTTTCATTGGAATTGGTAATTTATTTATGAATCTAATTATCTTTGAAGACAGTAACTTGAGAAATTGATCTGTGTATACTTACCTTAATTATTTTTCATGAGAGCTTAAGATTAGTAACATGAATTGTGTCCATCGGTATCCTCTGTTCTGATTAACTCTGTAAATGAAAACAAGGAAGATTAGGATATGTTACTTGAGTTAGTACTTATAGTTATGCTTATGTATATTTGTCTCTAAATTATTAGCATTAGCAAAGTACATTGTTATCAGTTGCTAAGCATTTATGTGCAAGTACAGATGCACATATTTACATGATGTTATATTTTTATACTTACCTTGTCATGTTTTCATGCATTGTTGTCATATTTTCATATTTGCATTGTTGTTATAGAATCATCCTTCCATATATTTTTACATCACACTTTCATCTTGATTTGAGATCATCTTTTCATTCTTGCATTGTTGACATTTTTTTTATTGTTGTAAAATAAGTCCAAAGAGACTTGGACAATTTTAACAGGGGGCAAAATGTGACAAATAGAGTGACAGTGATATTATAATCACGAAGTTTTAACCGTATTACTTGATTACATTTTTCTTTGTGTGCATTGTGTTTTGATACGACCCCCGAATTCTGTCAGACGATGTGTATTGCCGCATACGTTATTTTCTTTGCTTTTCAAGATTTTAATGTCGTTATGATGTTAAATTTATTGTTATCTATAGCTTCCTATATTGTATACATGATCACATAATTAAAACGGTGTTTGTTTAGCGATTATTCGGTAAATTGTTACCTGGTATGTTTTCTCTTTCGCCGCATGGTTTGTTATTCCGGAAGTGCGATTTCCCAGAATGCATTTTTCTTAAAATGTTAAAAGTTGTAAGCGGCGATTTATTTAATTAATTGTATGTCAATCTTCTTTAATTATTACGAAAGTTATTTTTGTTTATAAAGTAGTTATAATATTTTACTTGTTTCTATTTTATGGTGAAACATGTACACAACTTTTTGTTGTCGTGGGAATAAGGTTATCGCGTATCGCCTGTGATTGGTTGATGATCAGGTGCGCGATGTTTCTGATTGGTTATCGTATTTTACGTCATTTCGTAGTATTTTATGACGTATATATAGTAAGAACGAGAGTTGCAGACAGCAGAGTAGACAGAGATTAGATTACAGACAGTAGATTACACCAGTGTAAAGGTGTGTGTTTAATTTAGTTTTTTTGGGTTAAATAATTTGATTAAGTGGTGTGGGGGAAAACTTTATTCAGAGATTGAATAATATTTATTTACCAGTATATTACTGGTGTGGATTTTCATGATTACTGGTTTATTACCAGTTTAGGATTAAACTTGGGATTTTAATAGGTCTAAGAGAGTTAGACTTGCACATGAATTATTTAATTACTGGATAAGACTCCAGTTATAGAGGGTTTTTTATGAGTTTGTGAAACACCAGAGATTTTGTGAAATGTTGAACAGTATTGTTTTGTTTCCTGTTAAATAAATTTATAAACTTTCAATGGAGTTCTTGACTTGTTGAAGAAAGTCCAGTTAGCGTATCCGCACGTTACAGTAACCAACACGCAAAAAAAAAATCTTGTTGATTTCATTTATGCTCTGAAATGTTCCCACAAAACAACTTCTGACTTACTGTTTGGCTTAATGACAGACGTTTATCGGTCCATTTTTATATTTAATGACAAAATTCCTTAATCTAAAAGTATTACCAATATATTGATATTACAAAATCGTATTGCGATACAATATTATTCGTTATTGTATTGCAATATATCGAAATATCGATATTATTGCCCAGCCCTAATTGTAACAGTATCATTTTCTGTAGATCATTTCAAACATTATTAGTATATATAACTGTTGTACTGTTAAATACATCACAGTTTATTCTGGATTAGTTAATATTGCATCCAATTTAGAGGGAAAAAACTTCACAATGCTTTATTTTCCTGATTTATTTTCAAGATTCAAAAATGAAGTAAATCAACAGTTTGTAAAAAATGCAACAATAGAAAAAATGCTGAAGTATTGGACGGTGCTATTCTGATAATATTCATAATGTACACTAAAAGTACAGTTATAAAAGAATAAAAATACAACCTCAACTGTATTAAAATAAAGTTCTAAAAGTAAATTTAAAATTTCTAAATGCAACCTTAGGGTATTTTTCAATCATTGACAAGTAATCTTTTTTTTCAGATAAATGTCGCAGACACTGTGCAGTCTACACTGTATGTGCACTTGCATGTGTATAATCTCAGAAATGAAAGACGGTCATAAAGGTGTATATAATGTTCACAAATTTTATGTCACGGGGCAAGTTGAAAACATAAATTATGCGACTAAATATAAAAATTATCAGCTAAATACAAAACATTATCAGCCAAAAATAAACTATCAGCAGTAGAATATAAATATTATCTGTGACTGAAAATAAATATTTATAAATATTATCAGCTGTAGAATATTAAACGTCACTGAATATAAACATTATTGGCAACCAAATTTAAACATTCTCAGTGGCAGAATATAAAAATTATCAGCAACAGAAAGTAAACATCATCAGTGACTAATTAAATATTATCAATAAATGTCACATGTAGATAAATAAAAAGCCTATAAAAATACAGATTTCTTGACGAGACAATGCTGTGGGTGGCACGGCGGTTGATCACAGTCTTCAGGGGAGGCGTTGTTAAGGCAGTTAATGTCTACTAGGGAGGTGTCGTTAAACCTTGAGGTGTTTCTTGGCCAGTAACTCGTCCTCCTTTACACGAGACGAAGCCTTGATATGTGATGAAGTATCCCACCTGTAAATACAGACATGAGCGTTAGTGTTACATATGTATTGGAAGTCAAGGAAACTGAAGAAAGGCTAAAGTTTTGTCATATCTTTTCCCTGGTTCTACAATTGATGAATTAAGCTAAGAGTCTTTTACAATGTTAAAAAATTCTCATCTTTACAAAAAATAATATATATAGGATGCACAAATTCTATCTACATGGTACTAATTATATAAAATATGTATATAATTTGCCCTTGACATAGATATAAGAAATGGGGTGGTTCTTGATGAAACACAGTCTTCAAAATATTCATCCTAACTACATCAGTTTTCAATAAATCAAGCTTTCTGTATTTGGTCCTATTACTCCAAAATTGAAACACAAAGTGCAATAAACTGGAATCTTATGGATTTTAATAAATAATTATTTTCTTTTAAACCAAGAACTGGCTTCTATGTGTAAAGATTAGCTTTTTTGCAAAACCTGCACATTGCAGAACACATGTACCCTACAATGATTTTAACTCTTGATATATACATGTATGTAAATGAAGCTGAAGGTACTCTAAGGCTGTCTATATTATAAGCTATCTACACTAGAATCAAGCTGTAATTGCCAAGTCTACAATTGTGTGTTCATTATGTATAGAATATATTCCTTACAATTTTTATTTGTGACCAACAGAAATACTAGTATAAATAAATGAAATAAAAAGTTTCACTTAAAATGCACTTATAGTGAGAAAAATATTTTTTCCAAAAAGAGGAGGGGGTAAAAAAAATCCTGTTGAAATCCTGCAATCTACAAAGCTGTATATACTATCATAAACTGACAATAGTGCTTAATATCATTAGATTACCAAACGGGGTCGGAAACAAATCTATTTTCTTGACCTGTGGGAATGGAAAACTTCAAGGTTAATAATAATTCATATACTGATATACAAGATAGATGTAAGTTCTCTTTCTAGCGGAAACAATATACCGAAAAACATCAAGGATTCTGTATATCTCAAACCTAACTAAAACAGTATATCTTGTCTATTACAAAGTCATATGATGAGACTATCTCTAGCAGAAACCTAAACATTCAGCTGTAAAGGGACACTTTCAGATTCTGGGTTTCTGCATTCAGCAGAGTACAGTAAGGATGAGGAGTAGAAAAGCAGAAATTAATTTTGTTTTAGGTGTTCATTGCTACTTATAAAATTTTGTATTTTTCTTACTGAAACATATATCAGAACTGAAGATATGGAAATTCTGTGAACAGATGTTGGTAAAAAAAGCTGAAACAAAAGACAGCTACAGAGGACATAATGGGCATGTATTCAATGTAAGCCGTGTAAAATATGGATGATAGCTTGGATACATATGAAATATATTTACCCAGGATGAATCCTTTGAAAAGACAAAATGTAGCATTAACTCAAAGAGCATATTTATAAACCTAAGCTTAAAAACTAACTTTATGATAAAAGTGTGACTTCAGCTTTTCAATCATCAACTTCCCTAACTTATGTGGCAATATATCGGTAATTGTCGGAAACCCTGCTCTGCTCTTCTTGGGTAGCTTTTTACCAAAATTTGTTTAATTTTCTGTATTATCGAGTGGGAAAAAATCTTCCTTCAAATATGATTCAAATGACTTCAAAGAGTACGTACAAAATTAGTGCTGGTTATCAATTTAAAAAACAAAGAGTATGGCACGCCAAATCCACAAAAATGAGCAAAACATAGTTTCACAGTCGATAAACTAGGTTTATCGGTTGTAAACTATAGTTTACGGACTGTAAACTATAGTTAAACATATTTTACATCTGTAAACCATAGTTAACGCGATTCTATGTTTCACAACCGTAAACTATACTTAACATCGAAAACAATCATTTGCGATCGCAAAACATAGATTATCTGTAAATACAGTTTCACGATTTGTAAACTATAGTTTACAAACCGTTAACTATAAACGATGATAAATATAGGAAAATTAAACAACTCTTAACTACAGACGATTGTAAACTATAGTTTACAAACGTGAATTTATGTTTATCAACAAAATCTATTGTTAACGCTTTATTCACCTTAGGTTATATTTAACGACCGTTAAATATAGTTTTAACTATACTTAACGAATCGTTAACTATAATTAACGCGTGAACTAAAATCGTTAACTATAGTTTACGGTTTGTAAACTATAGTTTACAGTCGATAAACCTAGTTTATCAATTGTGAAAATAGGTTTATCTCATTTTTGTGAATTTGGCGTGCCATAAAAGAGCATTTAATGTTCTTTAACATTCGAAATATGAACATTTTGAAGGCATTTTTGAAGGTGAGATTGTCTTATTTTCTACACTTCATAATGATGAAAAATTAAATGATAAGGAATGCCCCAATGCAGGTTATACTGTATAACTTGGGTAAATAGCTATTATTCATTCCTTAGTAAGTTAGGGGCCAAATTCAGTTGTTATCATGCATGTATCTTGTCTCTCGTAAACTGAATGTCGTTAACTTACTTTTTAGTTTCTCGTTTGAATTCTTTCGGAGGCTGTTTCAGCTTCATTAGAAGAAAGTCCGGCTCTAATCGTCGGTTCATAAAGGGTGGCTCGGTGACATCCTGGACTATTAGAACATATTCACCTAAAACGAAATAAGTCGGACATTTCAAGTACTCTCTTGATAAGCAATAGAATGGCAATTTTATCCAATATCTGTGCTAAATTAACTTGTATCATTTCAATACCAACTTGAAAACAATATGCTCACATTATTTGTTTGCAGTTTTTTAAATTCACACTGAATACTGCAATAAAAAAAAACTCGTAAGGAAATTTCTGACAACTGTTGAAACTGTTTATAAATTTATATTTACAAATTTAAATGGTATTGTCAATGTATTGAACATCTCACAAATGATTTCAAATTACACTCATCACACAGACTGTGGATGTATGATTATGCATTGCTTTCAATTTCCAAACAATATTGAAGATTAAATTTAATTAAATTCCATACATACCAAGTTTGGCAAATTTCTCCTCCATAGCTTTTTGTTTCTTCATTCTAAATTTATCAACTGAAAAATACAGAGTCAAAATTAAAACAAGAAATAGAAAGTAAATTTCTTATGAATATTCCTGTTAAAAAAATTGTTAAATCCTGAATCAAACCACAGAAGCTAATAATGAAATTGCTTTAAGTTGAATGTGGCATGGCAATAATTCCACTCATGTGTGAACTGTGTTAGACTTCAAAGCATAGATTTAGAAGAACTTTTTGAATATTTATTTTAGTTTACAAGTTATAAATGCTTGTCAGGTGATATTATAAATTCAAAGGGAGAATTTTTTTCCAAATTTAGGGGACTGCTTAAGGCAAGATAATGGAGGTTGGTTAAATAACGGTGTTAGAGGTGACAGGAGTTGGAGAGTGTTCGGGTAGTCCAACACGCCTTACATATAGAGGTGTGAGTGGGAGTTTCCCGGATTGATCGTCTCCTGCTGGGTTGATCTCGGATTTCAGCTGAAGGCGCAAAAATAAAGGCAGTTTAATTCATACTCCACAGGATCACATTTGACATTTATTTTAACAATTTATAATTTTCTAATCAGAACATGTCCATTTCAAAAACATATTTAGGTTTGATTTACACAACAAACAAACAAAAAATAAAAGGTAATGCTTAAAAAATTATAAAAGAATTACTGATTTTATCTGTAAGTTCTATAGACAGACCTGTGTACAGAAAGAGATCAGTATATGTACCTGTCTGGTTCTGACTCTTTTAATTAACAATTAAATATAATTCCATGCATTAAACAAGTGATGTGAGCTGGTTGTGAGTTATCTTTATACAAGTATAAGGGAAATTAACCCCAACAAAGTCATTTTTCATTCCCAATTCAAGGTATTTTGCACCGTAGTATGAATTTCAATTGAAAAAATGTATATGCCTTGATATTGGGGTATGAAAAAATACTCAGATTTGGAGTGAGATATCCCCACGATGTACTCATGAAATATATCTTACACTTTGAGAATGACATGCAAATGTGACCAGTGAAAATTCATGCAAGGTGCCCATAAAAATTCCACATGGATTACAATTTCAAATGAGTAAAATATATATATCATAGGATTTATAATTAAATACTGCTCATACATATTACTGGTAGAATCTGACATTACAATTTATGAGATTGGTCTTTGAGTTATAAAGTTACGGTCAGACACTTAATGACATGTAAAATGTTTGATGCTGATACATGTAGATCTAATAAATAAAACCTATGTAGTTGCTTACAAAGTGAAATCTTTTTGAACATGATATCAAACAAGAAATGGATCTATATACAACAAAAATACAATGTTAATTTTGAAACAGAGTTACTTATCAACCACATAAATACATGCATAAAGTGTGCCACAAGTATTCACACAAAATCCACCATTTTCTGATAAATACAATTCAATGCAATAAACCACAAACAGGTGTGTGTGAATAATGAGGGGGATGGGGATAAAACACACTGTATATATATATATATAAACCTACAGACACTGGGCTGCCTAGAAATTGATGGTGTGAAAAGCTCTGAAACAAAATCAAAACACCTCATGCCATTGTAACAGAGTCTATAGTACTACATGTACAGTCATTATTGTAATATACATGTACCATTACTGTGTAAATTACCAGAAAACTGGCTTCGAACGACATGCAGTGCATTTTTCAATGTATATACTTACAAGTTATTAATTAAGCTTTATTAATGTAAATTCACCACATAAATTTCATATATGAAAGCCTCAAACTATTTAGTATTGCATAACACTGTACCCAGCTTTGTTAACATTAACTAGAATATACACCAGTCCTATATTACTTACATGCTGGAATAGATAAAAAAAAAAGAATTTCTAATTTTATTAATAAAGAGTCAATTTTCCTATCTGGTCAAAGATATAGACATATAATCCTCCATTCTTATTTCAGATCCCAAATCTGTGATGAGATTAATTTTATACACACATTCTAAGAATTTCATTGAACATATTGTTATTCTATATACCTTTTGACCTTGATCTACTCTTAGATTGTGTTTTGAGTCTCTCTGCCTCTTCCATGCGTTCAAAAGGTCTGTATTTTGGAGGTGCTGGGGTTAAGTGAAGTTCATCAAATGTATATACACCATCTTTTGTTCTGACTGTCGTCAGGGGAGGGAACTGAGGAACCGTGTTTTCTCTTTCTACGTCGGGCGTTTCCTCTGCAAAAAAATGATTTTAGGTAAATTAATCCATTTTGAATATGTGTAAATGTAATCCCTTTCAATGAACAAAGAAGTACTGTTTAAATCATATCTTCCACCATGACTGTTTATAATTGGTCCTACCATGAAATAAAGCATGACTTTGACCTTTAACCTGACTCAGTGAGATATTTCATACACAATGTGACGTTACCTACCATTTCCACTTTCATTGCCTGATGTGACGTTACCTACCATTTCCACTTTCATCGCCTGATGTGACGTTACCTACCATTTCCACTTTCATCGCCTGATGTCATGTTACCTATCATTTCCACTTTCATCACCTGATGTCATGTTACCTACCATTTCCACTTTCATCGCCTGATGTCATGTTACCTACCATTTCCACTTTCATCACCTGATGTCATGTTACCTACCATTTCCACTTTCATCACCTGATGTGATGTTACCTACCATTTCCACTTTCATCACCTAATGTGTTGTTACATGTACCTACCATTTCCACTTTCATTGCAGGTGTGGCACGATGTGATCCCTTTCTGCTCAAAAGCCCGATTTCCACTTTCCTTCACCGGCAATAGTGACGTCTCCGTATCAGTGAAATATTCTGGAGAGGGATGTTAAACAGTATACAATCAATCAATCCATCACATGATGTCATGTTACCTACCATTTCCACTTTCATCACCTGATGTGATGTTACCTACCATTTCCACTTTCATCACATGATGTCATGTTACCTACCATTTCCACTTTCATCGCCCCTTCCTCGTCATCTTTTTCCCCTTTCATCACCTGATGTCATGTTACCTACCATTTCCACACCCCCGATGTCATATTATCTACCATTTCCACTTTCATCACCTGATGTCATGTTACCTACCATTTCCACACCCCTGATGTCATGTTACCTACCATTTCCATTTTCATCATCTGATGTCATTTTACCTACCATTTCCACTTCCATCACATGATGTCATGTTACCTACCATTTCCACTTTCATTACATGATGTCATGTCACCTACCATTTTCACACCCCTGATGTCATGTTACCTACCATTTCCACTTCCATCACATGATGTCATGTTACCTACCATTTCCATTTTCATCACCTGATGTCATGTTACCTACCATTTCCACTTTCATCACATGATGTCATGTCACCTACCATTTCCACTTTCATCACATGATGTCATGTTACCTACCATTTCCACTTTCATCACATGATGTCATGTTACCTACCATTTCCACACCCCTGATGTCATGTTACCTACCATTTCCACTTTCATCACCTGATGTCATGTTACCTACCATTTCCACTTTCATCACCCCTTTCCTCGTCATTTTTCTCATCAGGATTGTCCTCTGTGTTTTCCTCTTTCTCGTTTTCTTTGTTTTCATTCTCCTGCTTTTCTTCTGAAACCTCCTCATCATCTGATTCTGCTGTGGGACCTACAGGTCAACTCAAAATTATAAGCGTGTGAGAGAACAGGTATAGGCAATGTTTGCCTACAGGTCAACTCAAAATTATAAGCCTACAGATAAACTCATTAAGCACTATGAGAACACAGGTGTGGGCAGTGTGAACCAACAGTTCAAGCTCAAAACATGGACAATATGAGCTAGCCTACAGATCAAGCTCTAAATATTAGGCAATGTGAGCTAGCCTACAGAATCAAAATTTTATCGATAATGTGAAACTAAAGATTAATCTTAAGGTATAGCTGAAAATTAAAGTGATTGTTAAAGAAATATGGATCTACAGATCGAACTCAAAATTACCACCAGTTTTAATCTTTTATTATTACCTGTAAGGATGAATTATTCTGATTTGGATGTTTGATTTGGATAATCACAAATGGGTTATCCTGAATTGGATTTATTTGATTTGGATTACTGTAAAATCACATATTTTCGTGGGGTCAAATTTTCATGGTTGAAGGAAAAAATGTTGGTTAGTGGGGATATGATTTCGTGGATGAAGAACTTTATAGTAGTTGTGCATATGAAAATTTACATTTCGTGGTTGACATGAATTCGTGGGTCTCTACTTACCACAAAAACAACGAAAATTAAACCCCCACGGAAATTAGTGATTTCACAGTATCCTATAATTACCTTGACTCTGATCATTGGATTTGGACGGGTCATCTTGGTCATCATCGTCTGGGAGGTCTTCTATACTGAAGTCAATCTGGTCGGTGATGGGGTATGGGACTACAGAATAACCACTGAAATGAAAGGTATCATAGTGAATATAATTAGACCATTCACAATCCTTTCTGATGCATAACGACCAACTTACAGTGGAGTTTCTACAGGCTTTTGTACACTTACAATGGCATTTCTATGACTTTTGTACACTTAAAATAAAGGTTCTATGGGCTTTTTTTTACATTTTCGATGGAGTTTCTATGAGCTTTTACGCAATGTTTCCTTGGGCTTTTGTACATTTAAAATGGACTTTCTCTGGGCTTTTATACACTTACAATGGGGTTTCTATGGGCTTTTGTACACTTACAATGGGGTTTCTATGGGCTTTTCCTCTGCATCATCTTCAATCATATCAAATAAGGCATCTTCCTTTTCACCGTTTGATACAGGGGGATAATATTTAAATCCTGCCAGCAGTTGAACTTCTCGACCTTGATCTAAAATTGGATAACATATATTTCGAAAATGAAATGCAAATTTTTTAACATAATTCTTCAAATTTCGCTGAAGAAATGAATACAATACTTTCACGATATAAAACCTACATGTATTTATTTGTTGTTGGCAAAATAGTTTCAAGTGCATACCAAAAATGTGATAAATGAACAAAATCTCTTTTAAACCTAATTAAAAACTTGAATTATTATAGTTTTATTATTTGACAAGACATATTTATATAAAAATCTATTTTTCAGCACACAAAGATTTTTGAAGATTTCTGAAAATTGTTGTGCTTGTTTTTCCTGTTTATCTGTATGCTTACCAGGTATAAGTCTATCACTTTCATTAAGACATTCAATCTTCACAGTAAATCCTATACCCTGGAATATTGACACCTTGGACTTGTCTTTTGGTTGTTTCTTCTTCTGGTCTATTTCTGAGTTATTGTTTAGTGTTACTTTCAGTTTGGTGGCCATTATCTCTGGGAATCCATTGATCCACTGACCATCATAAATAAGGCCAGAACTGTGATGCATTTTGCCTCGTCCATTAAAAGCATCTGACTTAAAATCTCCCTACAACATTTAGAAGCACTGCATGTAATAACAAGGTTATTATAACTCATATTTCATACAATGATATATTTATAAATGTGCTTTGGAGAGTATTTACTATATACCTTTTAATCACCTACAAACCTATCAAATATAACCATCATTTATACTTCTAATCCTGGAATCATTAAACATTGCTCAAGTCAAAAACTTAAGTGTTGTACCAAAATTTTGTAGAAGTCAGGCAGAATATAATTTAAATATTTCCCAATGTTGCATTACCATTGAATTTTTATCTAAGACCTAGTACCTCATAAACTGACCATGACCAATCAATGGTATAAAAATTCCCTCGACCCTCACGTAGGTCAGCAAGACTTACCTCATAAACAGATCCCATCAAATTTGTATAGAGAAATTCCTCAACCCTCGCGTAGGTCTAAAACTTACCTCATAAACAGACTCATCAATGGTATAGAGAAATTCCTCGTCCCTCGTGTAAAACTTACCTCATAAACTGACCCATCAATGGTATAGAGAATCCCTCGACCCTCACGTATATCATTGACCCACAGACCTTCATAACGGTCACCATTTCTAAGAAATAGAAAAACATTACAAGTAAGTCTTTCATTAATTGTAAATTACTGTTATTGCATTAAAAATAGCATTTCTTACAGGAAATTAATTTTACATTGGTTTCTTTACTTGGAACCATTTAAAATTATTCTCTAGCTTACCCAATGTCTTTTTTCCAACTTGAATCAATTTTTTAAAAGTTAAATACGAGTATAAGCTAAATCTATAATAAGAATCTTAAATCAAAACAGCACAGAAATTACTTGATGCACCTTCATTAATATGCACCTGAAAATGTTAACACTGCAGGTTCAGCTTGATTCCAGATTCAGATTTAGCATTGTTTATCAATTAGAAGGATAGTTAAATAATTATCCTTTATTCACAAAAAAAAATTTCATTTAAATTGTAAATGTATCAAATTACAGACTCTATTATTAAAGGTCAGTAAAGTTAAATGTCTCATGCATTATTAAACTACAAAGAAGTTTTCTTACAAAAGATTTAAAGTTGTCAGTAAATTTGTTTAACTCCAACCAAAATATTTAATTTGGAAATAAATAAATTATTCAAACTTCTTAATGAAATTAACCCAAATGGCTTAATATTTTTCTCTACAGTTAGTAGCTTGATGCAAATTTGTATGCTATACTAGTTATAATTATTTAAGTAGACACGATACCCTTTGTAAACTATTATAATTGAAATAAAATCACAACATGAAAATATATAAAGTACAGCTGCTGAATCTTGAACAACATGGGGAAGTCTTATATGTTCATCAGGGACACTTCCTGATTCCGTGGTAGGTTACTCAGGTGTCATTTGATAAATTAATATGGTCATCATGCATTTATATTTAAAAAATACTTAGCTGAACATCATGACAGTAACATAACATAACAGTAATTTAAAGTCTTCTTGTTGTGTACAAGTCTAATTAAATACATGTATACCATGTGTCCCCACCCTAGCCCCAAAACTATATTTATTTGAACAAAATTTAATCAAAATTAAGGCATAGGTAATTGTTTGCTTGTAAATTTGATTTATTTTTAGAGATTTCATGCAACGATCTTTTTGTCTGTTTTAATGTCCATAAAATTACTTGGCTGCAACTGTGGTCCCAGCCAGGCCTAAGGGATCATGATTTTAGCCAACTTACTATATATCTACACCACACATACTGTATGAAGGAAATTCATCCCCCCTTTTTTAAAATTTTTGCCCCTTTCATCTTTGTCTCACTTGGGCAAATTTAAAATGGGACAAATTCAAAGAACACAGAGTACAATTTCTTAAACAGCACTGTAACTGGGTGAATTTAAAATGGAGCCAAATTGTTTGCAACTGTAAAAGGGCAAAAATAACACAGAATGAAAAAAAAAAACCTGTATACATTAAATGGATTCTTTCAAGTTAATACATGAGCACTTCAGGGGTGAGGGGGGGGGGGGGGATTTTTTTATCCTCTCCGGCAATTGCCTTTGCTAAGACATGCTAAAAAGATCAGTACGTACAAGTATATGAAATTAAAAGAAGCATTGACATATACATGTAGTACATTGTAAATAACAAAAAACAGAGCATACAGTCTTCACTTTATACAGCCATAGCTAATAATCAAGCAACATACATTGATATTGGACCAAAATTAAAATTCTTTAATTAAAAAAATCAATAAAGAGTGGATTATGATCTTACTTTCCTATATACATGTACATATATTTATATTTTGATGAAATGGATGATTTCATGATCAATGACATTAAAATAGAGTGCCCCCCTCCCCCTCAAACAAATCAGTTCTTAATGTAATATTTGATATTAAGGAGTTCACAACATTATAATCAACTAACAAGAGCTAGCCTTGACTTAGACATTTGTCCCAAATTTTCTTTTTTCCTATCTAACATCTCCATTAGGCAAATAAAAGTATGTCTGAAGCTGAGTTTAAAAGAATTTTTCAATTATGTTTCAAAACAACTGTCATTTTTGTCACTGGTCTTGACCTCTGGCCTTTCGACCATTCTATATTCTAGTTCAAGACTAAAAGGTCAGATGGGGTTCCTTAAACTGTCTGCATTTCACAACATTGAAATGAACTTATCAATAAGTATGTCACCAGACACAGAGACTCGCACAAAACCCACTTATTTTAACCCCTTGTTAACTTGTTAGAAGGGCTGCAATACATGACATGTACGCTTTAATCCATTAGTACTTCTAATGAAATGAAATGTGTTTTTTAAAATATAATGTTATTATTTTGTGAATAGAAAGATTAGTATTAAACTAATGCTTAAATTTTATGTCTACATTAAAAAATCATCCCTAGAAGTATTTTACATCTTTTAACAAATTTATCGTATATTTTAATTACTAACTCATAATTTTGATACATATATATGTCAAATTAATGCAACTTAAACTATATACTCCTAATGCTTATAATTACAAATTGTCTGTTAATTGAGTGTACAAAAGTATGATCAATGTAACAAGCCATAAGGGATGGTTTTTCATGCATGAAGAATATAAATATTAGTCCAATATCTATCCATTCTGAGTAGCATACAAAAATAAAGCTTGATACATTGTTCCGATTCACACACAGCAATATACCTGCACCCATCAGAGCGGATCTTCTTTCTAAAATTAGTATCAGAGGGGTTCACACGGAATGACAAACAAATAGAAAGAGGTAATGCAAAATAAATTCACCACAATTAAATATACACTGTGTTTTTACATGATGTAGAAACACATATTGATATTGATAAGATGACACATATTATTCCAACCAGAAGTCAGGGAAAGATTTGAAGACATTTAAGTTTTTATAATATTATTATAAAATTTAAAGGAACTTGAAATTGTGAAAGGAGTCAATCATTTCATATATCTAAGGAAAAATGGATGCAAAACTCTCAGGTATTATGGACATTTAATCTTCAAAAAGTAAGATTTGCTGCTAAGGTATTCATATGTATAAACATATCGTACACGCATACACCGAGTGATTTAAAGATTTATCAGGCCTTATGTCAGGCAGCTCTTATAACATTGGCCTTAATCTTCTTGTTTTCATTTTAAATTCATAATAAAGTTTAAAATTTAATAAAACTACCTTTCTTGAGAAACTTAATTTAAAATATTGGCATTGGTAAGATTTTAAATAATTCCTTTCTGATGAAGAAAAAAAATTCAAAAACATTGACGAAATTTAGTTTACCTAAATAGATTGATTGCCTTTGGCCTGATTGTGCTGGTGGGGAAGATAAAATTTTACTGTCTTGAAATATATATTTGGGCCTCTCTGATGAACAAAAAAAAATTATCAAAAACACAAAATTTTACATTTGACAAAATTTTTTGAGTTTACACATATATATTATATACGCCATGGCATAAACATTGCAATATACATAACGTCACAATGCTTTTAGGTCCACATGCATTTATGGGCAGTGGTGGCTTTGGTTTATTAGGTTACCTTTATTAGGTCAATGCAAGGGGTAGTTGCAGGATAATGGACTTTATATCGTGTGAATTGTTAATTATCGTCAATGATACTTACGCATACATCATGACGCCCACGCCGTGCTTCATGTTACCCTCGTATCCCCCCTCGTAAACTTCGTCAGACTCCATCCCTAATGTCTTCATTACTCCATAACCTAAATAACAGGATAAAAATGATATTAGAAAGACAAATCAAGAAGTTTAATTTCTTTTCAAATAGAAAAATAATCTATATATTTATGTACAGTCTGATGAACCTAATGTTATTGTGACTGTGCTTCTTTTTGTTGGTTTGAAGGTTTGACAAAAAATATGAAAAAAAAAAGACTGCAGGTATATGAAAGTTTCAAGTTCTTAATGTTTATATTTAATAGATATCCAAGAAACTATTCTTCAAAAGCTTGAAAAAGTAAGATTATTTTTTGAATGTCAGTATTGAAAATTTTTTAATTTCATCTCATGCAAGCATACGTTTTCTATATCCAAGTCAATAAATGTTCAACTTATTAAAATATCTCTCATAATATTACATAAAATTGCACAAGAAAACCAGATTTCACCATGCTATATATCACTAAGTGGGATATGAATCCCTTATTGTACCCCCTTATTGTACAGAACTTGGAAGCTAAAACGAAGCAAAATCTTAAGTTAGCTCTATCCACTGTGCTACTTAGGCTTGCATGATTATACATAGCATTAAAATAAAAGCATGATGAATTTTGCGAGGCCTATTGCACTGACCACTAAGTCTTTTCAGTTTTAGAAATGTTATATTCAAAGACAAACAGATAACAAGAAAATCGATACGTATTTGAAAGATTTCTCTCTTTTTTTTTTTTGCTCTTAAATGTATAGACAAGCTTGGTCTTACCATGTTTCCTGTTTTTATACCACTCTCCGTCGTACACTGAGCCATCCGCGTACACCATCGTCCCCCGACCATGCAGCTCCCCCTTACTGAACTGGCCTGTGTATTTATTACCGGTCTGTGAGAAGAATCGTGTTCCTTTACCATCTATTTCACCATTTGTAAAGGTCCCCTCATAATAGCTACCATCAGCCATCTGAAGTTTTCCCTGACCTACAAGAGACAATGGGTGGCTAACACATCAATTGCTATTTTTGTCATTCTAAATATAGTTATCTTGTAAACATTTTAGATAGCTCATTTGAGGGTGCCAATAAAACTTATTTTTATTTAATAATTTTCAGGACCCATCATGCCGATTCTGTGACACTAATAAGGGCAACATCCTCATAGTGATCATACAACAACCATGAAGTAAGCAGAAAGCGGAGGTTTGATACAGTTTGATTGCCTTAAGTGCCAAGCAATGGTGCACACTTTGAGCATGTACAATCCGTCAGCTCAGCATTCTAAAATACACACAGAATAAATGCCATATGATGACTGTAACAGTTTTAAAACTTGGTTATAGCCCTAAAATGCCATAATTTGTTATATCCATATGACGAATTTGTATAAGTATATATAGCGAATTCACAATATGCACATTTTCCTATAAGTATTACTGCAGAATATCGTAGGGAATCAATTATTACAAAACATAGTACCTTGCCTAACTAAGGTTTTCATTATGAATTAAATTTCATTGGCAAATTTTTACTAAATATAAAGTCAGTTCAATATACCTAATTTGGAACACACACAGTTCGCTATATCCGTAAAAATATCTGCCATATTTTGGTGACTGTATATCCGAGCACTGAGTACTGTACTTGGTTTCTAACAACAACACAAATACATAAGTTGTGCACTTGATCACAGTATGGATGCAGTGGTATAGTCAGCGGTACTTGTACATACAGTCCTCTCAGAGTCCTTTGAGATGACACTGCATCAAAAGAGCACCTTGTGGACTCCATAAATGTGAAATGACAACTCCTAACAAGATGGGAACACAGTAAACTGCCATTTAGAAATCCATAGGAACATAGTAGCATGCTGCAGCATCTCAGTAGAAATGCCTTGTTTGCCATCAGGACATAGGTGTGTTAATATTTTCATCTTTTGAAAATTCTATTGAATTTTCTTGTTATTCCACTGTGATTCTAGAAATTCAATAATGCCATATATCCCTTATAGGAAGGCAGTATCTTAATGTTCTGTGTATAATCAACTCTGTTTCAATCTAGCCTCTTGAGATTTTTTGTGAAAACTCATGGCTAAAACATAATTATATTTGTGTAGTACATGTAAGTGACTTTGACATCAGCAAAATGACTGATTCAGGTTCACAATTATTTTTTGGTCAGGTCAACAAAGACCATCTAACATTTCTCTTAGTTACAATGTTATGTCCTTGAATAAAAAGTCAAATTTTTCTTCTTAATGACCTTGGCTACATATCTAGAAACTTACATTAATAAATCACAGTGGTTTTGCAAGTGACAGAGGTCAATATTTGCAAGTATCGTATATATGTTACTATATACAGTAAAACTCGTTTAGTATGAACACGGATATTGCGAATTTACAGATATAGCGAAGTCATCTTGATTCCCCAGCGTATATAAATTTAATGAATTTCTTATACAGATATAACGAATTACGGATATAGCGAAGTGATTTCATAGGTCCCAGTGACTTCGTTATAACTGTATACCATTGGTAGTTGGGCTGAATTTCAGACCTGATAAGGTATATACTTACCATGTTTAATTCCACCCCTCCATTGGCCTTCATATCGGAAATATTTATTTTCATACTGGTATATACCATGACCTACAAAATAACACAGTCACTGTCATTTATTCAAGTTATAAAAGTTTTAATTGTTTTGTGTAAATTAAAAGTTTAATAGTAGTTTGATTTCAAAGTTCAATTCCTTGTACATGTATTTAATTCCCGCAAGCTCTCCTCAACTCAAACACAACACAGTAACAACTTCACACCACTTTGATTTTATAGGCAGAAAATTAACTGCTGTTTTCAGATATTTTCATTAATGAAACTTAGAGCACATGTGTATAATTTTGCAAAATTTGTTTTGAAATTAGAAAATGCTTTGATTTAAACAATATCTTGCAAAAAAACTTAGGATAGAAAGCATGTAGGCTTAAATGCCACAAGGACTTTTACGACTTAAGACCAAATTTAATTCTTCATATAACTCTTTAATAAACATTATATCAAAATTATTTTAATCTTTTTAAAAGAAATGTGGTAAGATGTTTTTACACAAATAATTTTGAAGAGAATTATTAATTTTGCAAAATTTTACAATCATCTGATTAGTTTTCGGTCTTACGTAGTCGTAAGTTCTTTTGTAAAACGGGCCCCGATGTATATTTTTCTTGAATGTATAAGTGAAACAGGAAAACTAAATATTTTTTTCTGAACAAGAAATCATTGAGTGTCTATTACATATGATATGTTCTAAATCATAAATTGTAAAAATCCTGCAAATAAGTCCATGGTCTTTAACACATCATTCTGGAAATATTCATTGACTTTGGTTATTTGTTAAGACACTCACTTTACAGTGCATCACAAATATTGCTAGTAGTCACTTCCAAAAAATATTAATATAATTCCTAGCTATGTTCTTTTAAAAAATTTAAAAAGCAGGTAAAAAACTATATGTTTTTTTTTTTAATTACTTCTTTTCTATTGAATATCAATACATGTACTTATTTTTTATTCATAATAAGATTTATAAGAAATAACTTTGTGTGAGCATGTCTGCCATTGCTCAATTGACAAACCTTATCAAGATACTTGGAGATATGAATGCTGAAATTCTTACCAAATTTCACTTGGCTTTTTAAAACCAATGTTTATTTTTTATGCAATCTCAACAACTGTGTACATATTAGTTCAAACATACATATATCTGAAGTGTCACTTTTATTCTCAATTTAAATGCCATCTCATTATGTATTCTGTTAATGCAATTTTTCATTAATGGCATATTCAATGTTCACTTGCTCTTAAAGGTTTCAAAAAATTGTCATTGAGAACCAAGTTTGTGAAATCTCAATCCTGTACACATTAATACCATTAATATCTTCAATGTTACATACTTTTTTTATCAAACCATCTCATATAATCATTTTTTTCTGCTCAAAACATTTAGTATTGAAAAAAATTGATGAAGTGATATATCATTTTTATATTTAAATTGATCTTTCAAAGAATTATTTTTTTTCCTTTCAGTGTGAACCATATATAAACCACATTTTGAAAATACCTCAACCAACTAACAGTTGTTAGAATTCACTTTACTTCAGTTATAAAATGTTCAACATCACTGACACACCAACAAAACATTAGGATTATTCACAGCACAAATTTTAATCCTGTTTGTAGAAACAGCTACCTTAAAATAAATGTTATAACTTGACCCTCTGCAATCCTTCAAGACAGATGAACTCACCTGAGGTTCGTTTTGGGAAGGGATTGACGTTATATTCCCTCCGCTCGGAAATCTGACGTCTAGGTCTCACTGGAAGAATGCTAGGGGGTTTTAGATACGGTAACTTAAAATTATCCAAACTCTCATTCTTAGAAAATGCCAGTAGTCCCTTAGAAGGCTCACTAGACATGTCTGATGACATACTTCCATTTTGTTTTTGTATTTCACGATTAAATTTCTTTTTATAATTTGTATATCTTGTTGCATTAATTGTTGGCATTATGGTGGTTTATGAAATCAGCAGATCCTACACCAGACAGGTAAAATAGAAAACAAATATCTGCTCAAAAGAGCAACTCCCTCAAAGAAGCACAATGCTTTCCAAATGAATTAATAGAACACAATTATTGTTATTTCCAGAGGATGAACTAGAAGAATAAATTTCACATTCATATATATATCACATAATTTCCCTGTTTATTATATTTGTTTCTTCACTTGCTCCCTTCATTAAACCAATACAATTATAGCGACTGAACACATAGCACTCGTACGTACATGGTTTAAATCTCTGATATAAGCCTGACGACTACATTAGTATACTAACACGGTTCTCTTGAACCCAATGTGAACCAATTACTAATAAGAGTCATGGAATTAATCTTATGTAGAAAGTACATTTATAAATCAATCCAGATTTATCCTAAAATTGACACGACCCTGTACTATCAGAGTAAGGCTTTTGCCCTTGAACTGTTACTTAACATATTAATCTTTTTAGATGTATAAATTGCATTTTTGATATCTCAAGGTATTTAATGATTAATTTAGTAACCTAGAAAATAAATGAACCTGCTTCACCAATTGATTTCAGCAGTTTGAATTTGAAAAGTTTGCATAATGTACGAAAATAAGAAATGATGATCAATATTGTCATTCAACACAGGACATATTTTGAACTTCTAAAAGATTTATTTCTGCTTTCACATCAAAGAAAAGTGTCTTTAATTAACATTTGGTATATCACAATCGCTGGATGATTCAATGAAGCATAAATAGAAAATTCCCACTATTAACCAGTTGTCCGAGATTAGCAGTGGATAAAAATTAAATAAGTGTAAATCATATAAAACACAGATTATACTCAGTGTTTGGAGCCATTGTATTGACTTGCTTTAAGATTATTGAATCAGGCTATGTAACTGAATATGATATATAAAACTTAATTAAATAATCCTGGATTAGGGTACCAATCAATGTTTTGTTGAAATAAGCCTCTGAAAGAGCCGTTAGATTTTACATGTTAGAAGAAGTTTGTTACTTATTTCATTTACCATACAAACAGACAAAGAAAAACAGGTATGAAATCATCAATGTAAATAAGAATTTTGTACTTGTTTCAAAAATTGCAAAAATTGTAAAATGATGTATTTACAAATTAAAAACAAATAAGAAAATTTATCAAAGAATTGGGTCTCTTTTCAATAGGGCTATATTTAAAATATTGATAGGCATTTTTTAATAACAATCAACATTAATTTTGAACATTTGGGGATGCAGATTACATGGCATCTTTCTTTATTCAGAGGTAATTCTTAGTCATGTTTTAGAAAGTATTTAATGTATATTTGATGTACAATTTAGCTGACAACAGTTAATATATGAAATACATAGCTTTTAGAAATACTTAATTGATTTCTAATCAAACAAGAGGCCCATGGGCCACATCGCTCACCTGAGAAGCTTTGACCATTCTGTTCTTTACCAGATTTTCTCCTTGTAATACATAATGCATCCCCACCCTACCCCACTGATCATAATTTAGACATTTTGAAATCTACACTACCCCAGGATCCTTCCATGTGCACATAAGTTTCAGCTTTTCTGGCCCAGTGGTTCTTGAGAAGAAGATTTTCAAAGATTTTTCCTATATATTTCTATGTAAAACTTTAATTCCCCATTGTAGCCCCACCCTTCCCCCGGGGGTCATGATTTGAACAATTTAGAATCTACACTACCCCAGAATGCTTCCATATAAGTTTCAGCTTTTCTGGCCCAGTGGTTCTTGAGAAGAAGATTTTCACGGATTTTTCCAATATATTTCTATGTAAAACTTTGATTCCCCATTGTGGCCCCGCCCTTTCCCCGGGGGTCATGATTTGTACAATTTAGAATCTACACTACCCCAGGATGCTTCCACATAAGTTTCAGCTTTTCTGGCCCAGTGGTTCTTGAGAAGAAGATTTTCAAAGATTTTTCCTATATATTTCTATGTAAAACTTTGATTCCCCATTGTGGCCCCGCCCTTCCCCCGGGGGTCATGATTTGAACGATTTAGAATCTACACTATACCAGTATGCTTCCATATAAGTTTCAGCTTTTCTGGTCCAGTGGTTCTTGAGAAGAAGATTTTTTAATGACCCCACCCTATTTTTGTCTTTACTTGATTATCTCCCCTTGTGAGGGGACTTGGCCCTTTATTTTAACAATTTAAATTCCCCTTCACCCAAGGATGCTTTGTACCAAGTTTGGTCAAAATTGGCCCAGTGGTTCTTGAGAAGAAGTCGAAAATGTGAAAAGTTTACAGACGGACAGACAGACGGACTGACGGACGACGGACAAAATGTGATCAGAAAAGCTCACTTGAGCCTTCGGCTCAGGTAAGCTAAAAATTATTCCACTAATGACTTTTTGGGAAAAAAGTCTTTTTGCTTGTCATAATGTGAACATTACAGATCATATTTCAATATTTTGAAACTAATATTGTTGACATAATTAAACATAAAATTGCTAGTTGTTGACAATCTAAAAGTATTACCATAAAGAAAGACCTGGCCAATTTCAACAAAAAAGATGTTACAAAATATCTGAACAATATATAACAGGTGGTCAGGCAGGTTCTAACACTGTTAGTTTAGTAGCTCCATTGGTAGAGCAATTGATTAGTGATTCAAAGAGTCTGAGCCAGTGAGGCCTGGTCTGGCCCATCACAAGTATCTAACCTCCCCAATATATACAGTGGACCTTCAGATATCTGGACGCCAGATATCCGGATGTATCCGGATGCTTCAGTATCCGAACGATTTTTCATCAGAACAGAATTCTTAAAAGTTATTTTGTCTTGTTAACTGGTAATTCAGATATCCGGACGCTTCACATATCTGGACAAATTAACTTGGAACCAAAGCTTCCGGATAAATGAGGCTTCACTGTACTTGATCTTAACTTTTTATCTGTTGGCTATTTTTCTTTTCTAATGGGGGTAGAAGAAAAAATTTAAACATATGAAAACCAGGCCAAAAATTAGTCTTCATGCAGGCCTTTAAATCATTTACAATATGTGCTCAGATATCGTCTCCAGCCACAGTCTGGAGTCCACATATAGCTCTTCCCTACCCGTGGCTGCTTGATCACGTCAATTACAAGAGGCCCATGGGCCACATCGCTCACCTGAGCACCAAGGGTAGGACTAGTATAAAATGGCTTTTTATTGTAAAGTTGAAATCCAAAAGTAGTCCCATGACCAATCATGGATTTGCTATTTTTTAGAAAATGATTGAGAAGAAGATTTTTAAAGAATTTTCCTATATATTTCTATGTAAAACTTTGGTCGGCCATTTTGGCCCCGCCCTACCCCCGGGGGTTATGATTTGAACAAAATTGAATCTACACTACCTGAACATGCTTCCATATAAATATGATGAATAATGGCTTTGTCATTCTTGAGAAGAAGATTTTTAAAGAATTTTCCTATATATCTCTATGTAAAACCTTGGTCGGCCATTTTGGCCCCGCCCTACCCCCCGGGGTCATGATTTGAACAAACTTGAATCTACACTACCTGAGCATGCTTCCATATATATTTGATGAATTATGGCTTTGTCATTCTTGAGAAGAAGATTTTTAAAGAATTTTCCTATATATTTCTATGTAAAACACTGGTCGGCCATTTTGGCCCCGCCCAACCCCCCGGGGTCATGATTTGAACAAACTTGAATCTACACTACCTGAGCATGCTTCCATATAAATATGATGAATTATGCCTTTGTCATTCTTGAGAAGAAGATTTTTAAAGAATTTTCCTATATATTTCTATGTAAAACCTTGGTCGGCCAGTTTGGCCCCGCCCTACCCCCGGGGGTCATGATTTGAACAAACTTGAATCTACACTACCTGAGCATGCTTCCATATAAATATGATGAATTATGGCTTTGTCATTCTTGAGAAGAAGATTTTTAAAGAATTTTCCTATATATTTCTATGTAAAACTTTGGTCGGCCATTTTGGCCCCGCCCTACCCCCGGGGATCATGATTTGAACAAACTTGAATCTACACTACCTGAGCATGTTTCCATATAAATATGATGAATTATGGCTTTGTCATCCTTGAGAAGAAGATTTTTAAAGAATTTTCCTATATATTTCTATGTAAAACTTTGGTCGGCCATTTTGGCCCCGCCCTACCCCCGGGGGTCATGATTTGAACAAAATTGAATCTACACTACCTGAACATGCTTCCATATAAATATGATGAATAATGGCTTTGTCATTCTTGAGAAGAAGATTTTTAAAGAATTTTCCTATATATCTCTATGTAAAACCTTGGTCGGCCATTTTGGCCCCGCCCTACCCCCCGGGGTCATGATTTGAACAAACTTGAATCTACACTACCTGAGCATGCTTCCATATATATATATGATGAATTATGGCTTTGTCATTCTTGAGAAGAAGATTTTTAAAGAAATTTCCTATATATTTCTATGTAAAACACTGGTCGGCCATTTTGGCCCCGCCCAACCCCCCGGGGTCATGATTTGAACAAACTTGAATCTTCACTACCTGAGCATGCTTCCATATAAATATGATGAATTATGCCTTTGTCATTCTTGAGAAGAAGATTTTTAAAGAATTTTCCTATATATTTCTATGTAAAACTTTGGTCGGCCATTTTGGCCCCGCCCTACCCCCGGGGATCATGATTTGAACAAACTTGAATCTACACTACCTGAGCATGTTTCCATATAAATATGATGAATTATGGCTTTGTCATTCTTCAGAAGAAGATTTTTAAAGAATTTTCCTATATATAATTTCTATGTAAAACTTTGGTCGGCCATTTTGGCCCCGCCCTACCCCCGGGGATCATGATTTGAACAAAATTGAATCTACACTACCTGAACATGCTTCCATATAAATATGATGAATAATGGCTTTGTCATTCTTGAGAAGAAGGTTTTTAAAGAATTTTCCTATATATCTCTATGTAAAACCTTGGTCGGCCATTTTGGCCCCGCCCTACCCCCCGGGGTCATGATTTGAACAAACTTGAATCTACACTACCTGAGCATGCTTCCATATATATATATGATGAATTATGGCTTTGTCATTCTTGAGAAGAAGATTTTTAAAGAATTTTCCTATATATTTCTATGTAAAACTTTGGTCGGCCATTTTGGCCCCGCCCTACCCCCGGGGTCATGATTTGAACAAACTTGAATCTACACTACCTGAGCATGCTTCCATATAAATATGATGAATTATGGCTTTGTCATTCTTGAGAAGAAGATTTTTAAAGAATTTTCCTATATATTTCTATGTAAAACTTGGGTCGGCCATTTTGGCCCGCCCTACCCCCGGGGGTCATGATTTGAACAAACTTGAATCTACACTACCTGAGGATGTTTCCCCATAAGTTTCATCTTTCCTGGCACAGTGGTTCTTGAGAAGAAGATTTTTAAAATATACCACTAAATTTTCATTAATTCCCAATTATCTCCCCTTGAATAAGGGCGTGGCCCTTCATTTTAACAAACTTGAATCCCCATCATCCAAGGATACTTTGTGGCAAGTTTGGTTTAAATTGGCCCAGCGGTTCTTGAGAAGAAGTCGAAAATGTGAAAAGTTTACAGACAGACGGACAGACAGACAGACGGACGCCGGACAAAATGTGATCAGAAAAGCTCACTTGAGCCTTCGGCTCAGGTGAGCTAAAAACCAATGACGTGTTTGTTTCCATCACAATTGAAATCAACATTAATTGACATCATCAATAAACAAAAAAACATTTCATAAACTGTGATAGGTATTAAAAGGTTGCATCTAGGTTCATTTTCTGACTTAATGCTTAACATGCATTTGCATTAAAAAAAAAAAAGGTTAATATTTTAATGAGTTACAAATTTTTTTTTACCCGACCACAGCATGAATGGGAGAGGATAGTACATATTGGCCATGGTTTGCACGATGGTGTTAAGAAGAATATATGTAATTTATTTGTCAATGAGTAAAAAAAATGTTCAGCATATTTTGATTAATGTTTTCATCAGTTAATATTGTATACTGTATTGTCATAAAAAAGATCAGGAGACCTTAGCTAATTTTATAATCAATAGAAAAACAAAAAAATTGGAAAGAGTACACTGATGATTACTGGAAAAGGATTTTTTTAATTATCAAAGTAACATGTCACTGGGTATAATTTCCACTATTTTGCTCAATACAGGTCTTCTAAAAATGACTAAATTGTTGGTTGCAGTGAAAAAATTAAAAAGACATGCATGCATTATATATGTATTGAGAGAGCACAAAATATTGATTCACTCGTCATTTATCTGTTGTGTCTTGTTTGCTTGTCATTCACGAAATAATGTGTCTATTCAACGATAACAATTCCCTTGCTGATATCAAATCCCGTACCAGTAGATGTCTCTTGATAAAAATTCCAAACCTTTCCTTTGTTATGACATTTAACAAAATATTAATCTAAAAAAGAGATATAATTACACAGTTCACCAACTATAAATAGGGTTAAAGATAATGATCACATAAAAGGTCCACTGCATTCATTTACAAACTGATTGAATGGGTTTTTTAGGCATTTAAACACATTTCTTTGAAATTTACTTTGAATAAAGAAACTCTAAATGATAATCTCTTGAAGATTATAAACACACTCCTATATATCTAACCCTAAGTGATGTTCATTCATTTAAAGTTGGAATATTTGACATACAAATTAATACCTGCTGAGTCACAAACAAATTAATCAACTCATTATTACAATCTTTTTGTGATGAATGGTCTACTTTTTTCATATTTTTACAACAGTACAGAAAAAATAGCCAATTCAAAATCCTCTTTACATCAGAAACTTAATTACCCTGTTTTATATAAGTTGGGATATAATTGTATAAGAATTTAAAAGAATTGCTGATTTTTTTTTAATGATTTATGAAATGTTTCGTAACAACAGATTAAATTTACTTTAATAGTAAACGCCTAACATTTAAAAACAAATCAGCATGCATACTTATAGAAATCTGTGATTTATATTGTAAATTACTTTTTCATAACTCCCTGCAATACCATAAAATAAAATAGTTTGATTACAGTTTGATTAATTAATCATTTTAATTTTATTTGGGCAGTGATCGTTATGATTGATTTCTAAATTAAAACTAAATGCATTTGCCACACTTTCGAGCTCTTATCATTTATCTACAACTTTTATATCAGCCTAGCTGCAGCGAACAAAAACGAAAGAAGCCTATCAATGAAACATGTGCAGAAACATTCCCGTCTTCAATGCGTGCATTTTAGAATTTCAATTGTCGAATGCTCTCTTACAGTTGATATTCAAAATTTTGTAATTCATTACAGACAGAAAGACCAATTCTTCATGGTCATTGTATTTATTAAGTTTTTTGTGTTTTAATTTAAACTATATGGCATAAAAATAAAAATACACATGAGTGAGCCGAAATTGGAGACGACCCGGAATTGGCGACTCCACTGTATATATAGGTCCCTGATCTTGATCATGACATGTGGCACAATTTTACCTCACATCCTACGGATCTAATGTTATTGTGATAATCATAATTAAATATCTTTTAAAAAATGTTAGACATTAATATGACTTGTTGCCTCTAAAACAATGTGAATTTTTACAAAAATACTCTTCTACTCATTTATGTGTGGGGACGTCGATGATGATCAAGGGAATTCCCATAGTCTAAAGCTACTGAGAGAAATAGGATTCACATATTATCTAATGGAAGCTCACAACCTATGCCTATAGTCTAATGTCATGGACTACTAATGGTAGCTCACAACCTATGCCCAGTAAAATGTCATGGACTAGCAATGGAATGCATTTTCTTATGTAGCTTTCCTCGCCAGGAGCTATCATTTATAATAAGATTAAACTTGAAATGTTTACCCTCCTTCCATTCTCCCATACTCAGATTTCATGGAACATGTACACAGAGACTGTAGTAGATTTGACACTTTCACTTTATGATCAACTTACCATCTCTTTTGTCTCGGAATTTTTCTCCCGCGTAAGTATTGCTCCTGATTAATTTCAACTCCATGATGTTTATGCTGACGACGATTCTCGTGATCTTTTTGACTTTTCTTCAAATTAAATAGATAAATCAAGATACGATCCGCATGGTTCTCATCTCGCATTCATCGAGAACGAACGAGATCAAAACTGACTTCTAAAGATGGAAAAGGGAAAGACGATTTTTCTAGATGTAAGTGTGTAAATATTCTTAGGAATTCAATGAAAAAATCTCGTTTGCATCTAAACAGGACTATATTTTATCTATTTTTGCAGTTTATACAAAGTACTCATCCTCACCTGAGAGAAGGGCGTATAGATTCACCCGAATTTACTCAGTCTCTGCAGAGACATTTAAATAACGTGCTATTTATGTCTCTGGTTTCTTTTGCCAAATTGTGATGAATACAAATACAATGGTGAAAACGTTTTAATTTTTGCCTATTTTTTTAATTTCAAGGTGTTTTTTTTTTAGAAACATGATGCTAAAAGTACACATTTATTGTTATGTTATTGGTTATCCACATTTATTTTTTCTATAATGGATGCTGGATGTATTAAGCATATACCTAAATGATATTCTAATCAGGGATCTAAATACTTTTAGTATTTAGGAACCTGCTCTGATTAGCAAACTGTTGAAAGCAGTTAAAAAAAAATCCTTGAATCGAATGATGTTTTTACTTGTCATCGAGTCGATCGTGTTAAACCAGGTCCATAGGAATTTATCAAAAATATGAACAAAAATCCTGTATCCATTTTCTCTTTCAGATATTCAGAAGAGCAGATAAAAATGGTAAGTTATTAGTATATCAGTTAATTTGTATAAGATAATTCTTGATCATGTTCATTAAGATGATTATTTTTTATGTTATGTGTTACAGATGATGGGACAATAATTCATAGATGATAGGGTAAAATCTTGGGGAGGGGTTTGTATATTTTGATGTTACATATATTTACAGATGATGGGAGAATATCTTGGGAGGAGTTTGTCCAGTTTTTCGCTGATGGCGTCATTGGAAAAGAAGAAATGGAGAAGTTGTTCAATGATATTGACACACACAACACCAAGTTAGTCCAAGGCTTTAGTAACATTGACAGCTGTATATATATTTTTATTAACATTGAGAGCTTTGTGTGTATTTTTAGTAACATTGAAAGCTTTGTGTGTATTTTAAGTGACATTTAGGGCTTTGTGTGTATTTTTAGTAACATTGACACTGGAGAGCTGTGTGAGTACTTTAGCAATCACCTTGGTGAAATGAAGGAGATTTATTCTCTGATGGAGGATCTGAACCACAAAGTCACCAATGTACTGCAGTCCACTGCCAAGGTAAATCTTGCCTCTGTACCATGTAAAACAAAACACATAGGCGTCGGAACCGGGGGGGCTAAGGGGGGGGGGGGGGCTTAGCCCCCCACTTTTTTCCCAAATATATACTTAGTATAGACTTAGCCCCCCCACTTTTTTCCCAAAGATTTACTTAGTATAGACATTGAACATTGCCTCGTAGGTTTAGCTCCCCCACTTTCCACAGAAACGTCGCAGTATAGGTACCCCCACGAAATAGGATTTTCGAGTTTGGGAACTTGCTTGCTTGTCAGGTTTTTTGAGAAGGTTTAAAAAAATTTTTACACTTAGCCCCCCCACTTTCAATTTGCTTCCGACGCCAATGAAACATATTAATCTAATAGTATTCAAATACATTCTATAATTCTGTGTTATAGCAATTTTTTTTATACAAGTTCTTGTTGGAGTTTAATATATTAACCAAAAATGTTGTACAATGTACACGTCTCTTAAAAAGAATCTGAAAAATGCAAAACCTGAAGGTAATTGTTAAATTCTACATATCTATGTGGAAATCATTGCTTTGTTGATACATGTACATGTATGGTTTCAGACTTATCCTGAGAAGAACAGAACTGACAAATTTATCACCCGCTTCTTGATGCGTGAGTGTATTGGTCAGCTGACTGCCCTACAGCGCCCTCTAGAGTCGGCCTCAGACCATATGGACGAGGAAGCTCGAGCAGAAAAGTAAGTTTAAAAAAGACGTTAGAAAAAATCATCTGTGAATGAAGAATTATTTCTGACATGCTTTTAATTTATATAATGGTATTTTGATTGACCAGCACTGACATCAAGCCTATCGAGCCTCGTGACGTCCTGCCTAAGCCTGACGTTATTCCGGGCCGTGTCGGACGTCGAACCAAACATCAGATCAGTAGTCAATCTTCAGTCCCCTCAGAAGGTAGATAATTTATATCATCTATGTTTTGTTAAAAAAAAAATCAATTTAGATGATGGCTTTTATTTTGCAATTAATATCTATTTCATAGCACCCTCAAAACCTTGCAAATATCTTGAGAATTCCAAGCTTCATATTTTAATCTTTATGTATTACAAAAAATATACTGTTAAATTTTGATATCTTAAACAAAATGGGACCCAGGGCAAAAAAAAAAAGTCAAAGGACACATGGTTTCACAGAAGTCTTGTCTTTTTTAAGTCACCTGAGTAACTCAGGTGACCTATTGCTATCCGTTTTCGTCCGTCGTCGTGCGTCGTGTGTCGTGCGTCGTGTGTTAACATTTGAACATTTTCATCTTCTTCTCTGCAACCACTGAACCAATTTCAACCAAATTTGGCACAAAGCATTTATGGGTGAAGGGGAACAAAAATTGGGAATTTCATGGTCCCTGCCCCCCTGGGGCCTGGGGGATGGGGCAAAAACCACTAAAATTAATGAAATCTTGAAAAATCTTCTTCTTTACTCCTGGACATCAAGCAGGCAAACTGTTGGCATGAATGTAATGAGCATTGAGTCCTCTACCAAAATTGTGAAATTCATGGCCCCAGGATCAGGGGTTCTAGTGCTAGGGTGGGGCTACATAGATTATATAGTGAAAATGCATTATTTCTTTGAAAATCTTCTTCTCTGCTACTGGGTATTGAATAAGCTAACTAAGAACATAATAATGATGAGCAAGAGTGCCTCTTCCAGATTTTTGAATTTTATGGCCCCAGGGTCAGGGGTTCTGGTGTTAGGGCGGGGCTCTATAGATTATATATTAAAAATGCATTTAATCTTTGAAAATCTTCTTCTCTGCTTCTGGATATTAAATAAACTAACTAAGCATATAGTTATGATGAGCAAGAGTGCCTTTTCCAAAATTGTGAATTTTATGGCCCCAGGGTCAGGGGTTCTGGTGTTAGGGTGGGGCTCTATTGATTATATAGTGAAAATGCATTTAATCTTTGAAAATCTTCTTCTCTGCTTCTGGGTATTACGAGGGGCATTTCAAAAGTTCTGGCAACTGTTTAATAAAAGATTAACCGTTTTACGGAAATTATTGAGTTTGATGTCATTGGAAAGATCAGAAAAAAATACACAAATTGTGACGTCACTTTATAATTTTTATGACGTAATAACTCCGAAAATGACGTCAGAATATAGACTGTTTAGCATACTGACAATAAAAATGACGTAACAAAAGATACAATTTGATCAAATTAAAATTTTCAAGACAACTTTTGCTCATTACTCGGACGCAAGTTAACGGACGCAAATGCCAGTTGGTAGAATGTTTACATAGACTACAATCTATCATATGGTATTTTATTTTGGAGATTTTCTTGTTCTGAAATGGTTTTAGCGAGTGTCAAAATTAGCATGTTTTTATCGAATCTCGCTCAAACTTTTGTGTAAAAGAGACCTAAATGTGAGAAAAAGACAAAGTTGACAATCAAAGAAAAATAGGCGATCGTGTTACAAAATTTGATGGCATTAATTCGTCAGGTGTTTTAACCAGAATTGTGGGATCGATGAAGGCTCAAGAGAAAATAAGTTTAGTGTGCCCAATATTTTCTCGTAAAATCCAAAATGGCGGCGGCGCAGTTGTAACCCCACCGTACCTCCACATATTCGCAAATTTTAATGCTTGGAAAATAAATAAGACTTTACATGTCTGAGTAACTTATATTCATTTTTTGGATTCAAAAGTCAAAAGCAGTAGTGAGTTTTGGGGCGCCGAAGTTGAATTTATATGAAAAAATATGCACAGAATCCAGTCGGGGACAAGATTTAGTACAGTTTATTCGTAAACAGTAAGAATCCTGTTACTCAAAATATATTTGATGAAAACTGCATTAATATACTTCAGTTTAATATAGAACATGTTTTATTTCAAACAATGGAGAGCTATAGAAAAGACCGAACAGTCAGCCGTATTATGTAAGTAAAGTTTTTGAATGAATGTCTATGAAAGCAAAACCGGACATAAACCGTGCTCGTAAACAAACTATACAATGAATAATGGAATTGCTGATAAACAGTATCATAGTCCTACTCTACCTCTTTTCAAATTAAAATTTTCTTTGAAATATTTTTTCAAATAAGCCTTTGACAGAACTTTTACGATCGTCTCATGTGGATAAAAACGCGACTTTTCAGTATGCTAAACATTATATAATCTGACGTCATATTCCGAGTTATTACGTCATAAAAATTATAAAGTGACGTCACAATATGTGCATATTTTTCTGATCTTTCCAATGATGTCAAACTCAATAATTTCCGTAAAACGGTTACTCTTTTATTAAACAGTTGCCAGAACTTTTGAAATGCCCCTCGTAAATAAACTAACTAAGTAGATAGTAATGATGAGCAAGAGTGCCTCTTCCAGATTTTTGAATTATATGGCCCCAGGGTCAGAGGTTCTGGTGTTAGGGCGGGGCTCTATAGATTATATAGTGAAAATGCATTTAATCTTTGAAAATCTTCTTCTTTGCTTCTGGGTATTAAATAAACTAACAAAGCACATAGTTATGATGAGCAAGAGTGCCTTTTCCAAAATTGTGAATTTTATGGCCCGAGGGTCGGGGGTTCTGGTGTTAGGGCGGGGCTCTATTGATTATATAGTGAAAATGTATTTATTCTTTGAAAATCTTCTTCTCAGCTTCTGAGTATCAAATAAACTAACTAAGCACACAGTAATGATAAGCAAGAGTACCTTTTCCAAAATTGTGAATTTTATGGCCCCAGAGTCAGGGGTTCTGGTGTAAAGGGGGGGGGGCTCTATTGATTATATAGTGAAAATGCATTAATTCTTTGAGAATCTTCTTCTCTACTTCTGGGTATTAAATAAACTGAATAAGTAGTATTTAGTAATGATGAGCAAGAGTGCCTCTTCCAGATTTGTGAATTTTACGGCCCCAGGGTCAGAGGTTCTGGTGTTAGGGCGGGTCTCTATAGATTATATAGTGAAAATGCATTTAATCTTTGAAAATCTTCTTCTTTGCTTCTGGGTATTAAATAAACTAACAAAGCACATAGTTATGATGAGCAAGAGTGCCTCTTCCAAATTTGTGAATTTTATGGCCCCAGGGTCAGGGGTTCTGGAGTTAGGGTGGGGCTCTATTGATTATATAGTAAAAATACAATAATTCTTTGAAAATATTTTCTTTTGCTTCTGGGTTTTATGCCAATGATCCAAGTATATATATTTATGATGAACAAAGGTGCATCTAGCAAAGTGTTTTTTTAAATGCCCCCTGGGTCGGGGGGGGGGGGGGTACATAGTCTGAAAATAAATTAATGCTTTGAAATCTGCTCTTTGGTATTAATAAACCATTTTATGATAAAATTTGCAAAATTTTGAAATATGTGGCCCCTGGGTCAGTGGTTCCTTTGGGGTGAGGTGCACAACTGGGTATAAAGTGGAAGTGCATTTTCTCTTTGTTACTCCGATCTACCTCTGGGTATTAAGTAAATAGAGTAAGCATGCTAAGTTAATAATTATGATAAACAATGGTGCCTCTTTCAAAATTGTGAATTGTGAATTTCATCGCCTTTGGTTTAAAACACGAACCAAATTTAATTGTTTGAAAGTTTTTACACAATACTCAGGTGACCTATAAGGCCCGTGGGCCTCTTGTTTCTTGATATGGTACAACAGGGTTTGTTTATAATTTTTGGTTTCCTTCCTTCAGGTTCAGTAAATCCTATAGCACTTACAGCACAAGTGGACAGACTGTCAGATCTGCTTGACAGACTGGAACATGGGGTAAAATATTTCATAGAAATGAAATTCTAAATACACTGTATTTTTAAAAACAAGGCTTTGATTGAATTCTTATGAGATTAAAAAAAGAACAGTGATATAGCAATGACTTTGTTAATCTGTCTTTCTTGTAGGTGAACTTTAAAGGATTTGTTGATGAAGACATGAATGCCACAGCTGAGGATCAGGTATGATAATTATGTCATTGTTATTTATAGGGACAGGGAAAAGGATTTTTAACAAACTTATGGGATTGATCTTCACAGATTTCTTCCGATATGTTCTGTTATTATAGAGTCCTACACATTTCAATAGCTCTTTATGTTTATTCTGTAGTACATCCTGCAGCAGAGGAATATGGAGGTCGTCAAGGGGAAGGAAGAAGATTTCCGTACGGCTCTCCGTCAGTATGTGGAGGACACGAACAACGCTCCTGGTGCACTCAAGTGAGTCCAAAATTAACTCAGAAACCAATGCTCCTGGTGCACTTAAGTGAATCCAAAATTAACTCAGAAACCAAGGCTCCTGGTGCACTAAAGTGAGTCCCAAAATTAACTCAGAAATCAATGCTCCTGGTGCACTCAAATGAGTCCCAAAATTAACTCAGAAACCAATGCTTCTGGTGCACTCAAGGATGTCCGAAATTAACTCAGAAACAAACGAGTCATCAGGGGCACTACAGCAAGTCAAAAATTAAATAAATTTATTGGGGACACTCAGAAACTATCTAATCACCATCCGTAATTAAATGAATCAGAAATTAACTAAAAAACAAACAGAAAAGTAAAATATTCACAAGTCACACTCAAGTTATAGTGGCTGTCATAAATAAATAAATTGAGCAACAAAAATTGGCCTGGGCACTTATTTAAGTCAGAAACATTCAGATACAAATAGCTTACTAGGTTTCAACCAAATAAATCAACACAGAAACAAAGCAACAGTGGTAATTGATCACTGATCGAATTAAAGAAATTTCATGTAATTTAAGATCATACAGACCGTTCTCATTTCTGAGTTATATACGTAGGCTGAGCATAAGATGAAGTTAGATAATCCATTTAGAACTTAATTTTGACTGTAGTATGATGCAAAACTGTTGTATGATGCAAATCAAATGTCTGTATTTTTTCAGTTAAAATCTATGCATTTATGATGGATGATAAAGTAAAATTAATAAGATGCTCTTTATTATTGTAGTATTAGTGTGAGGTTCTTCAAAGATACTGGAGTGTTTACGCTGTATGAAATCTGGGAAGCAGAGGACAAGGAGAAGCAGTAAGTAACAGACAGAGGAAACTCGGATTATATTTGTTGTCAGTACATGTGTGTCAGTACATGTATTGGATATTTTTAAGTGTTTTCAAAAAAACATATGAATACATGCTTTTGTGTACCAGATGGAACAGAAAGCATGCCAGGTGTGTTTCTATTCTCTGAAAAGTGTTGTGTATAGCTTTATCATAAAATCTAAATACACAGTAAAAAAGGAACTATTTGAGAGATAAACTTTGGTACCTCTTCAATTACCATAAAATCTGTTTAAGACTTTGTTTACTAGCTTGCTTTACTACTTACTGTATATTTTTGATATTTGTTCTTTTAGATATTTTAAGACTTTGTTTTGCTATCTTGTTTCACTTTCTATTTTAGATATCGGGAGAAGAAGTCCTTTGATTCTGTATTCCCTGGTCTAACGTCAAATGTCTCCCTGTCCTCAATCACCTTCCCAAGTATGACAAACAACTCATTAACTGTTAATTAATTCATGGAAATGATTTTATTTATGAATAAATTTATTATAAAGATATTAGCAGAGTTAAATTGTTAAAAAAGATTATGCCATATAACATACTGATGAGTACATACATATACAAGTGCAAAAGCAATTTATACTTACACCTTTTACTTATCTTTTGTTCATTATGATTCCACTATTAAATACATTTTGTTTTGTGCGATTTTAGAAATCTGGTGGTTGAAGCAATAAAGAATCCTGTCAGAGTGGAGAGATGACAACTGTCTTGTACACAGGGTAGAGGCCTGCACTGGTCTACTGTACTGACAGATTTTATAGCCAAGTCTTTTATCAAACTTTTATTTTACCTCTGCTGTGCACAATTCTATGTTGTATTTTATATTACCTTTTTGTTTATTGTTAGTCATCATTTTATAGTGTTTTTGTATGTGTTTACTGATATTTAAATTTTCTACTGATATGAATTCAGTAACATCTGTGTTATCATAAACAGTCAGTGTTATAGTATAGAAATATAAAGATTTTTCCATAGAATGATAGCATTTAAATACAGTGCATATACTGTATGTCAAAACTGGAAATACTTTAAAGTAGTGAATAGTTTTATAAAATGATATTGTTTTCCTCATTGCTTTGTATTTGTCTATGTAGGATTCTTATTTTGATTCCTTGTGTAACTAATGTCGAGATCTAGATATAGTTGCTCAGTCAAAAGGTACATGTTTTGTCTCTACATGTATATTGAACAGATTTTAAGATGACATTTAAAACATCCCTATAAATTGAAATTTCTTGTTTCAAAACAATATTCAAATTAGCCACAATAGTGAACAAAATTAATTATCATGCAGAAGGAATTGTATTAGGATAAAGTGCAGTCTTAAATGGAGTAAATGAGGAATGTGTACGGAGAAGGGATTTAGTGAAGGTTCTCTAAAAGCTTTTTCGGTGTGAAGAAAGAGATGAACATGTGTAGTTAAATACCTGTGTTAGTAGTACTTAGTACGTGTATCTATGTATACCTATGAGATGTAATGTCTCTGGTTCAATTAAAACACAACAACGTTATGGGCCAGATGTACTTAATATTTTTTTTTTTTAATGTTATTACATGCAATATATGAACTTATATATATATCTGTTGCATAATTCAAAGTTTCTTTTATTATCATTTTTATATATGCTAAGCTATTGATAAAACACTAATATCTTACAAGCATTTTGAAATATTAACCATGAATTAAGTGAATAAGGATTTCTAGGTTTTACAGAAATCCAGGTCTTATATATTTTATGCATGTGTCAATTTATTTAATTGTTTAAATTTATTAGTTAATTTAACCTAAGAATACATGTATGTTGACAACAAATGTACTATTCTGTTCTGTTTTCACCGAGATACTGTATGCAGGGTTATTTTTGCCCCTTCTTATGTTGGCTCTTTTACACCTGCAGACAATTTTGCCATGTTTTTAATTTGCCTACACACAATTCTGTCAAAGAGATAATGTTGTTTTTCTTTGATTTTCACCAATTTTAAAATTTGCCCATGTGATAAGGGAAAAGGGTCGAAAATTTCCCTGTAATCAGTATGAATAATTTATTTGTGGTTTTAAACCAAGTTTTTGGGATAGCAAGGAATGTAAATTAAAAAGACGAAGAGAAGATTAAAAAGAGAAGATCAAAAAAATCATTTCAACTGAAAAAATTATGCTTCCACATATCGGTTCAGCCAGAACAACACCACCACATATCAGTTCAACCTGACAATGAAAATAACACCACCACATATCAGTTCAACATGACAATGAAAACACCACCACCACATATCAGTTCAACCTGACAATGAAAACACCTCCATCACATATCAGTTAAACCTGTCAATAAAAACACCACCACCACATAACAGTTCAACCTGACAATGAAAACAACACCGCAACATATCAGTTCAACCTGACACTGAAAACAACACCACCAAAGTGAAAATAACACCACCACATATCAGTTCAACATGACAATGAAAACAACACCACCAGAGTGAAAACAAATCCACCACCACATATCAGTTCAACCTGACAATGAAAGCAACACCACCAGAGTGAAAACAACTCCACCATATATAAGTTCAACCTGACGATAAAAACACCAACACCACATATCAGTTCAACCTGACAATGAAAACAACACCACCACATATCAGTTCAACCTGACAATGAAAACAACACCACCACATATCAGTTCAACCTGACAATGAAAACAACACCACCAAGATGAAAACAACACCTCCACATATCAGTTCAACCTGACAATGAAAACAACACCACCAAGATGAAAACAACACCACCACATATCAGATCAACCTGACAATGAAACCACCACCACATATCAGTTCAACCTGACAATGAAAACAATACCACCACATATCAGTTCAACCTGACAATGAAAACACCACCATTATCAGTTTAATCTGACAATGAAAACAACACCACCAAGATGAAAACAACACCACCACATATCAGTTCAACCTGAAAAAGAAAGCAACACCACCACATGTCAGTTCAACCTGACAATGAAAGCAACACCACCAAAGTGAAAACACCACCACCACATATCGTTCAACCTGACATTGAAAACAACACCACCCGAGTGAAAACAATTCCACCTCCTATCAGTTCAACCTGACAATCCACCACATATCAGTTCAACCTGTCAATTAAAACACCACCACCACATATCAGTTCAGCCTGACAATGAAAACAACACCACCCAAGTGAAAACAGCTCCACCACATATCAGTTCAATCTGTCAATGAAAACACCACCACCACATAACAGTTCAACCTGACACCGAAAACAACACCACCACATGTCAGTTCAACCTGACGATAAAAATACCTCCATCACATATCAGTTCAACCTGAAAGTGAAAACAACACCAATGCATACCAGTTCAACATGAAAAAGAAAACAACACCACATATCAGTTCAACCTAATGGTGAAAACAACCACCACCACATATCAGTTCAACCTGACAATGAAAACAACTCCATCACATATCAGTTCAACCTGACAATAAAAACAACACCACCAAAGTGAAAACAACACCACCACATATCAGTTCAACCTGACAATGAAAAGAACTCCACCACATATCAGTTCAACCTGAAAGTGAAAACAACATCACTGCATACCAGTTCAACATGAAAAAGAAAACAACACCACATATCAATTCAACCTAATGCTGAAAACAACCACCACCACATATCAGTTCAACCTGACAATGAAAACAACTCCACCACATATCAGTTCAACCTGACAATGAAAACAACACCACCACATATCAGTTCAACCTGACAATGAAAACAACTCCATCACATATCAGTTCAACCTGACTATAAAAACAACAGCACCAAAGTGAAAACAACACCTCCACATATCAGTTCAACCTGAAAGTTAAAACAACACCACTGCATACCAGTTCAACATGACAAAGAAAACAACACCACATATCAATTCAGTCTAATGCTGAAAACAACCACCACCACATATCAGTTCAACCTGAAAGTGCAAACACCACCACCAAAGTAAAAACAGCACAACCACATATCAATTCCATAAGAAAATGGAAAATCACACTACCACATGACATTGCAATCTGAGATTGAAAAGTCACAGCAGCATATAATTTTTCAACACGATAATGAAAAATCAACCCGCCACTTGTAACTTAATGTATGAAAGTGAGGGAGGTCTGATATGCTCACTTTGTCCCCACCTCACATTTAATAATTGGTTTGGGGAACATGTTTGCAGTTAATACACTAGTGATTAGTATGTAATATTTTAAGGAAAATCAGAAGTCATTCATGATACTAGAAACAGTGTAGCTAACCTGATCAGATGTACTTAAAACACATCTGTTTGAACTGGCTGGATTTTTATCAGAACTACATCGGGAATATAAGCTTTCTCATTGTTTTGTACCTGATTTTAATACAGCTTAATTTGAAGGGTACATTCCGATATAATTCAAAAACTCCATAATCATTTCTATAAAAGTTTTCAGAACATTTAGTGGAAACGGTGATTTATTGATATTTATTTTAAATTAAAATATTTTTCATTGTAGGAACGGGGGGTAATTATGCCGATATATAAAACACGATAGAAAACATAGCTACCATAAACCTGTACCCCCACAATAATGTCCCCAAACTAAAATTGCTTCCTGTCGGCCTGTAGTTAGTGAAAGGTAGTTGATTGACAAAGCTGAAAAATGGAGAAAGTCTCCCCCGACCGTGCGCAGAAAATCTTACACCGTAAATTACACCTTATTCGCATAACGGGATCTGTAGCGTTATAGTCAAAGACCAAAGTTGCATTACAGTTCTGCAGTAACTTTTACGTAATCTAACATTGAAAAGAAAAAGTTAATATTTCATATAACAATTACCGGTATTGCACTTGTTTGTCGACAACGTTTCGATCAACTTTACATCTATTTATGATATCACAATCAGGGTAACCTATCTCTGACGTCACAATCAACTATACATATATTTATGACATCGCAATTGGGGTAACCTATCCCTGACGTCACAATCAACTTTACCTCTATTTATGACGTTACAATAAGGGTTGGAATACCGACGTCACAATAGCTGTCCATCGGTGTAAAACTTTGCAAATGGAGGCAGGATGACAATGACAACTTACCAGCAGTGTTATGCCCCCTCCCCCTTCCGTAGCCCCGTCCGTTTTCTCCAGCTACCCTCCATTGTTAGTAAGGGGACCCTCCAACAGCCCCCGAGACAGTTCCCTATAGAACCTGTAGGCCCCAAAAGACAACAGGAGCGTGATCCGGAGGAGGGACCTGTGCTTGGACTGGGTACAAAATGCATCAACACTGGTCGGTAAGGAAACAAACACACCATTTACATGCAGCTGTATGATATTTTGCCATTGCTATTATAAGTACTATATTACTACTTTGAAAAAAAAATGACGTATAGGTTTATTGCATAGGGCTATTAGGCGTCGGAAGCAAATTGAAGGGGGGGGGGGCTAATTGAAAGTGGGGGCTAAACCAACAAAAAAGGTAAACCCCAATTTTCAATGCCTATATAATGTCTATCTTTACAAAAAAGTAGGGGAGCTAAGCCCCCCCCCTGGTTCCCGCGCCTATGTATTTTCTTAAATACCGCTAATAAAATATGTAGGGCTCTAAACAATATTTCAATGCGTGCAAAGATTTTTTATGTAGTTTAATTTGACTCATGTATTAATAGTTCATAGTGTAACATGTATATGTAATAACTTTTATTCAGATACTGAAATAATGATCTCAAGATCTTGTAACAATTCTGAACTGTAAAGTTATACTAATGACTCGCGTACTTAGGATTCATAACATCGGTTAAGCAAAGTGAAATGGTTTAAATGGAGAGCGGGGGTCAATTTTATTAAACTGCTATTGCTAATACCTCATCCGCCCCACCCCTCCATACAAACACCCCGTTTTGCTTACGACTGCATTTGTATTAATAAATATGCATGGACTACCGGTATAATTTGACTCGAGTGATTTGTCTCATCCTTATTCGACAGGTTTTGATTTTAATTTTATTCATATATTTTAAATAATATTTGTTTAATTAGGTTTTTGGAACCTAAAGAAATTACTGGGAGTCCCTCTCCGAGTAAAATAGCATGTACTCTACCAAAACCGGCAGTGGACCGAAAGTGTGTCCGAAGGGTTCGCTCAGAGGTGATGGGGAGACCAGAGAGTGTGCATGTCCAGCGTACAAAGTTTGGCCTGATGGATTCAAACTTGATAAACAGGCTAGCTCAGCGGGTGCGATGGACGTCAACATCCACAGCCGCCGCAGAGGAGGCTTATCTTAAATTCCCACAGGTCTGTGTAAATTTATCTATAAGAT